GGAGCATTTTTATGCATGGCTGGTTTTACTGTCACAATCCATACCCTTTAACTGATAAGGGATTCCATGTGACATCAGAAATCAACCAACCATACAATTGCTGATGTCATTTGCTCTCTAAAGAGCTATTGGTTAAAGTCTTGAATTTTTCATTGGAGATAAAGTCTTTTTCCTTTCAAAATGTTTCTCTATGACTTTTCTACTGCTTCCAGTGAATTATTTGTTAGTGCATGTGAGCCACAAATGACACAAATTATTAGCTGTTTTCTTCTTTTATTATTATTAATTTTTAGTTTTTTATATTAATCACAGGTTATTTACTTTATTAGGTGTTTTCTTAATTTAAAACTAAAATATTGTATGTCTGAGCAAACATTAAATTGCATCATAAACAAAGGAGAAACTTAGTCAGGAATTCTACCAATGGCATTTTGATGATAGCTCTATTCTGTTCAAACTTTGTTACTTTACATATTTATATGGCATTTTATCTTCAAAGTGCTATGTTTTTATGATAACATGTTGTCCTTGAAGACGACTATACACATGAGCTAACTCACACTAAAATCAGGCAAATGATACAACATTACTGAATTATTTTACATAATATGCTCTTTTTCAAATCAAAGGTGTTGCTAAAGGGAGAAAACGTTCTTAAAAAAATTCTTTATCATAAATCTTTTTTCCCCCCTGCAAATCCTTTTTTTCTCTCTACAAAAGCAATCTGAATGGGAGCAAAAGAAGACAAAACTTGACCTTTGGTGATCCCAGCATTAATGGGTCTGTTCATGATTCAATCTATGTGTGTGCGAGGGCATCCATGTGGAAACATAGAAGCCCGAGAGACATAAAACCTTTCCCTTTAAACATTATCTGACCCTCTCGGTCCCATTCACAAAAGAAGGCTTACGCACGCCTCTGCTGGAAAAGCGCACCATCTCATTGTGCAGCCGAAAGCCCGCTCGCTCCACTCCTCGTGCGCCATGGCGGTGACGTGACGCACGGAGGTGACACCAGTGCAGAATGTGGGAGTGTAACAAATGAACAGAAGGCACCAAAGGAAAATGAAACGTTCTGGTGGGGAAACAAGCCAGACTTCCGAAACTGGGCAAATGTGCACATTGCTACACATTTTTCACATGGGATGTTTGACCTCATCTCTATGCTGCCTGCATTCAATTCTTGAATTCATTTAAGTTCTCAAGACGGCTTGTAACCACTGTTTAACTTTTCTATAGGTCTTACATATTGAAGCTGTCTGTTTCTGCGCTATACGTTGCTAACTATGGCCTGTCTGCTACTAGCAATAAATCTGAAGAACTCCTGGTTTTTGCAGTCTTCAGCTGTTGGCATGAATTCTCTGTGGCTTTGAATCGGCCCATGTTATTAAGAACTCCAGAGCGCTTTGTACAGAACTACCATTTGAAATCATCAGATAGAAGAGTTGTCTCTGTTCTTGAAATGTGGCCTTAGAGACAATATACAGGGTGGTCTCAAAGCAAGGACAGCCTGTTAACTCAATCCCAGCTTTCTAGACAGGTATGGTGGATCAAATCTGCACTCTCGATACTTTGGGAGGCTGAGGCAGGAGGAATTGATATGAGTTTAAGACCTCTGTGATCCACATAGTGAGTTCCAAGCCAGCCTGGAAACACAGTAGGTAAAAGAAAGGATGACAGTGGCAAGACGGTTAAGGATGTAAAGGCATTTGCCACCGAGGAATTTGATCTCCAGGACCTACAGAGTAAAAATATGCAATTTGTATTCTGACTTCTACATGCATACCATGCAATAACCTTCTCCCACCAACATACATACATACACATGAAAGAAAATGAGCCAGAAAGGATGCACAGAGATTTTGATGAATACTTTTTAATCTGCATAAATATCTTCATTGTTTTCCCACAGATATATTGCTCCTTTTATATGTTAAAAGGAAAACATAATATTGAATTGATAAAAGAAGATCAAAGAATGAAAACTAAAAGGAGCCGAAAGAGAGTGAAGTGTCTCTGATCACAGTTGCACTACAGTGTAGCCACTGGGAAATTTGGTATGTGTGGTATCTCTCACAGTATTGCAGTGACTAGCCAATCTTCACTCTCCTTCAATTTTCCCCAGGTGGGAAGATACGCCTTGGTTCCAACCAGAGGTCCCTATGTGTGGTGGCTTTACAATCTGACAACCCCATCTACTGACACGGGTAGAGACCACTAAAAACGGAGGCATTTTAAATGTCTTCTCAACTTACCTGTTTGGAGATAGGTTCATGCCAGTGGTGATGACTGGATCTGCATCTTAAGGCTTCTATTTACTTGTTCTTTACAGAACTCTAATCATAGGAATATAGCTCATTGAGGGATCTGATTGTCATGCTTAGAACACTCTCTCTAAGCTGGCACCAATGACCAGAGATATTAGGTCATGTCCACACCTGCGAGCAATGGCTAATTGTGTCTCAAACCCACACTAACAGCTCTGGCAAACCTTCCCTGGCTTCACAACTGTGTGGATGCTTCGCCGTAGTCTTACTGTTCATGCAAACCTTGTCCAGCATTGTTATCTACTTTTCAGACAAGCTGGAACCACACAATTTAAACTGACAATAATGAATTACATTTTGTGAAATAATTTTTTTTTAAATTTTAGCATACCATTGTATCAAGTGAATACAATGCTGATTAAAAGCACGTTTTAAAAGAAAAGTCCAGGCAGCAGAACATGAGCTAAACCTGAGAATTTATGACATTGACTCAGGGTTTTAAGATAGGTATAGAATTTTGTTTTTGTGTAAACAAACTGTGTGGCTTGAGATGCAGCTCAGTGGTTGAGCACTTACCCAGCATGCACAAAGCCCTGGGTTCAAGCCACAGCAACATCAGAATAAAAGAAAGGAGAACGGAACTGAGACAGTATTGAAGCAATTTCCCTTAAGTGTTCTCACTGCCCTTTGCCATTAGGATTTCACTTTTCTGTCTGTGCACAAACTCCAATTCACCTTTGCTAATCTGAATGCTGGAATTTACACAGCTGAACAAATAGAATCATTCTCCAAGCAATAATTTAGCAATTATCCACGTGTTTGATTTTTGAAATAATAAAAAAATCCCACACATTTTTATTTGTGCCTGATAAATTAAGTATGTAACTAATTAAAGTTGTATAAAAATATTAAAGCACATAGGATTAAATAAACACAAAAATGCCAGTACGAATGCCAATACGTTTTGTGAAAATAATGAAACCTGCTACTTTTATAATTAAGAGATAAACTAACAGAGAATTATCAAATAAGCATAAATATTATGCTTTTGAGAAAAGATAACTATTAAATTCCTATTATGCTTTATAAATCTAAAATAATGGTTATTTTCCGTGACCACCAAACTTTCAGTTCCAATGAAATTATAATTTTACATAAAATGGAAAGGGAAGACTAAAGGCATAAATTGTCATGCGTACAGGACAGCCTGAGTTTGTCCACAGTACAGACAGCTTGGACAGCGCGTACCTGTAAATCTCAGCCCTCTGTCAGGGCAGCCAGAGGTGGAAGAAAAGGAACCCTGAAGCTTGTGGCCTAGCTGACGTTTATGGCAGCAGACACCAAGACTATGTCTCAAACAAGGTGGAAGATGAGGACCAGTGCTCAAGATTATTCCTCTAACCTCCACACACATGTCATGGACATGCGCATCCACCCCCACGCTCGTACATTCATGCACATGCATACAATGACTAAAATGCACATCAACGGGTGAACATAATTATACCCAAGAAAACATCTGTAACGTTCATGGATTAAAATCTCTCCACCTCTGGTTAAACACATATAAAACGTGCAGTGAAGTATATACATATATTTTTAAATTTTTAACTAACAACCTGGTCATTTATCTTATAACTCTTTAGTGGAAGGAGCCAAAGCCATGCCTTAGATCTATACAGTTGTTAGTGATGGCATTTTGGGAAATGGTCACATGTAATTTTTGCAAAATATTCCCTACTGAGTATTCTAATAAATATTTACAATTCCACCTTTAATACTGGATATACATGTCCCAAATACTAACACATTTTCACCTGAGTTAAATTTATGAAGAAAGTTTTATACTATCTTTTCAATCATCTTATTATGAAAGAAAAAGTTAGAAAAAAAATGATGCAATCATTAAGATAAAAAAATACTAAAACATTAAACTTTGGGTTGGTTACTTTGACCAGTGTTCAAATTAGTCAAACTTAAGCAGAAAGTTTAGTTTTTAAATGTATAGATTATTTTATTCTTTACATTGGTTATAGGTTTGCTTTTCACAGTGGTGCACAGAGACTAGCAAATCCATGCCCACTCCTCAGAAAGATTAAATGCTTTGCTTTCCAGGAAGCAACATGAAAATCATTTTCCTCCTTTGTCTGGCACCAATTTTGTGTTATTATTTCATTTATGGAATATGCTGTCAACTTCCCAGCATGGGCTTTGGAGGGGAGGTTTGATTTTAATAGTACTTCATTACAATATTGCAGGCAGAATCCGATGATTAGCTCTCTCAGGGTTGACATTTGTAAACTACAGCTTTCCGGGGATAGAAGATAACTTCGTTAGCATTTCTAAAATTGAGAGCAAGGATTCTCTCCTTAGATATTAGTTAATACAAACAAGATTTCGGGGCTATCAGAGAGTCAACGGCCCTTTTACACTTTCTGGTGCTGGAATGTTTTTAAACTGATTCACAAGTAATATGTAATGACCTGAAACATTTATGGGAAAACGCTCATAATTTTTCAGAAAATCATGACCTGATTTGTTCCTTCAGGCATGCGTTATTTTCCAGGGTGCCTATATCAATAAAATAATTACCGGTTTTGAACAGCTTTCTTCTGCTCTCAGCTCTTCAGAATTAACAAGAGTTGATCTACTGTGATACTTAAGGTAAATTTTCTATTAATTTTAAAATCATTGGACATAAGTTTCAATATTGTTGGCAAAATAAGTCTCTTACCTCTTCTTGTGACTTCCAGTAGTCTTCTGATGTCACTGAAAGAGTGGCCTTTTCTGTTACTTTTGCTTTTCTCTCGTTCATCATCAAGTTTCAACTAAAAGACAAAAATAATCAACACAATCCTCTGGCAATAACAGGATTTGTTTTGAAATAAGCCTCATTTCGACTAAGTGTAAAGATGATTTTTTTTTCAAGAGTTAAAACACTTAACCTACTGAATTTTTAACTTTTCTTTGAAAATACACAACTTGGAAAACCTAATGTGGAGGAAAAGCCCTGAGTTGTGGCAATGAGACACTGATTAAGACAGTCTGAAGCATTTTATAATGAATTCACAACTTTTAAAATTAGGTTGAACTCTTCTGTCAAACATGTGTCTTGTAGGTGGTAGCATAAGGGGTCTGCCGTTACGTTGGGATAAGACGTAAAGGGGCCCATCAAAGTTATCGTTCATACACTGCATGGTGCTGAAACGATTTCCACATGCAGTCCTTGTCTTTTAGCTCCTTTACGTCTGTGGATTTTAGTAAGGTTATCCCTCAGGAGGATGCTTAATTCTCACTCAGAAAGGCAAATGGAATAGACCGGAAATGGTTGAAAAGAGGGAACAGGATGGGACCCTATCCTAGATGTCCTCTCCTGAGACTCACAGCTAAACTTTGGGCAGAGCGCAGGGATTCCTACGGGGAAATGGGTGCGAAAGAAGAACAGAAAGAGGACAGGAACGCCACAAGGAGACCAACAGAGCCAACAAATCTGGGCCCAGGGGGTCCTGCGGAGACTGATGCAACAACCAAGGACCATGTGTGGAGAAGACCTAGACACCCCCCCCGCCCCCCCTGCTCAGATGGAGCCCACAGGCAGCTCAGTCTTCGTGTGGGCTCCTTAGCAAGTGGAGCAGGGGCTGTCTCTGACATGGTCTCTAATGCCTGTTCTTTGATCAGTTTTCCATGGTGGGGCAGCCTTGCCAGGCCACAGACAAGGAAGATGTAGGCAGTCCTGATGAGACCTGATAAGCTAGGGTCAGATGGTAGGGAAGGAGAGCTCCCTCTTTCTGTGGACTAGGGGAGAAGGATGGGGGTGGGAGGGAGGATGTGAAAGGGAGGAGACGAAGGAGGGGGCCACAATCAGGAAATAAAGTGAATAAATTATAAAAAATAAAATAAAATGATTTCCAATATTTTGTAAGAGAAGATTGTATCTCTACACAGCTCAGTAGTTACCTCCGACTGGCTCTGTTTACACAGTCAGATCAAGCACTTCTACTACTTCCAGCCTCTGATTTGTAAAAACATGAATGTGGCCCATTTCATATCCTTGCAAATGATCTTATAGAAATAAAATACTATTTTCATCAGAGGAAGAAATTAATTCACCCAGTAAGTTTCATTCAACAGAGCAACCCCATTAGAAACAAAGAGAGCAAGAGTCTGATTTGGAAAGAAAAAAAAATAGCCCTCTCAATGGAATATTAGCAATTTCATGTTTTGGGACAGGGCCTCACTCTGTAGCTTGGGCTGGCTTGCAATTTACAGAGATCCTCCTGCATCTACCTCCTGAGGTAGATTAATGGCAATTTAATTAATCAATGGCAATGCCATTAATCAAATTAATGGCATTTGACACCATGCCTGGCTTTTTTCTTCCTTTGTTCTCCCCCAGTTGGAATATTTAACAATTCTTAAGTGCTGAATGTAGACTAATAATGAGTAATGATAGACTTTAGGGGTTTTTTTGGCGTGTGTTCATGTCACTGTTCTGCATACTTTTTCTCATGTGTATGCCTGACAGATCATATTTGGCCACATGAATAGTGAATTTCCACTACCTAAAAAGCTATACTGCCTATAACAAGCATAAATGTGAACTATGGATTCAATTTGTCTTCTATTCAGATATACTTAAGAATTTTCAGGCTGTGAACACTTTATCCAATGATATGTGATAAAACTAAGCCCCATACACATCTGGTTGGGAAGATAGGAGTAGTTCAAGAGTCTTCAGACTGTCTGAGGCTCACCTGAATAAAGAGTTGGTAAATGTTTCAATAAAAGTCTTGTCAACAGTTTAGGCTTTATGGGAAGGGAAAGAGAGGTGTCTTTATCAGTCCCTTATAATATAAAATAGACAAGATATAAAGCTATGTTTTGATATGAGCTATGTTTTGATAAGACCTTTTAAAGGAAATAGTAGACTGAATTTTGCCAGCAAATTGTGACTCACCCAACCTAACCCCTGACTTAGACTCAGAATCACTGATTAAACAAGTTACTTTTAATCACCACATAAGACTATTTTCAGAATTACTCTAATGAACACTTGTTCCTATAATACCATATCACAGAAGTATTTGTAACGGAAGTTTTGTTTTCTTTGTAAACCCAGTTATGTTATGTAAATATGTTTTTGTTTTAATCTCAAGGGTGGGATTTTAGTTGGGCTATAGTTTGTCCATACCTGTTAATAGTCATGTGATCTTTCCCAGCTGGTTACGGCCTTCCCTGTGCAGCATGGAGAGGGCCATGGTCTAGGACTCTGAGAGTATAAATCTGAGAGCTGAGAAAGAGAAGGCGTGGCATTTGGTGTCGGCGTGTGGTGTGTAGATGTTTGGACAGAGCAGGGACCAGAGACAGTATGGTAGTTTGGAGCATCCAGATGGAGAGAAACACTATGGGGCACTGCAGTGTGTGGGAGGCTGCTAGCTCCCTCTGCAGTTGATGGAGATTGGTATAGAGCCCTAGAAGACTTGAGTCTAAACACCCGGGAGAGGTAAAGCGGTCTGCCCCCCCTCTCTCCACTAACCTCTTCTCTCTCCTCCTTAAGGTTGAGGGGTTGATGGAAGGGAGGTAGAGGCCTAAACACCCCAATAAAGGAGAGTTTTTAAAATGTTTTAATCTTATTTATGTATTTGTTATAATTTATTCACTTTGTTTCCTCACTGCAGCCCCTCCCTCGTCTCCTCCTAATCCCACCCACTCTCCCTCTTCTCCTCTATGCTCTTTCCTTAGTCCACTGATAGGGGAGGACCTCTTCCCCTTCTATCTGACCCTAGCTTATCAGGTCTCATCGAGACTGGCTGCATCATCTTCCTCTGTGGCCTGGTAAGGCTGCAACCCCCCAGGGGGAGATGATCAGAGAGCCAGCCACTGAGTTCATGTTACAGCCCTTGTGTCCCTTACTAGGGAACCCACTTGGAAACTGAGCAGCCAATGGGCTTCCTTTGAACAGGGGGTCTAGGTCTTCTTCATGCATGGTCCTTAGTTGGAGTCCCCTGGCCCCGGTATTTTGGCTCTGTTGTTCTCATTGTAGAGTTCCTGTCCCCTCCAGGTCTTTCTATCTCTCTCTTCTTCCATAATGATTTTGGCACTCTGCTCAAAGTTTGGCTATGAGTCTTAGTATCTCCTTCTATACCCTGGTGCCTAGAGTCTTTCAGAGGTCCTCTGTGGAAGGCTCTTGTCCTGTTCCTTGTCTTCTCCTACTTCTAATGTCTATCTTGTTTGCCTTTCTCAATATTATGTTTTAAATTCTTACATGTAACTTCTATGTATATATTTACATATAAATTAATTTAGATATGTAAGACTCATTTCAACTGCCAAAAATATTTTCTTTTTGAAAGACACTGTTAGGAAGATAAACTACGAAGGCAAGCTATAGTTTGAGAAATGTATTATTTCACATATACTTAAGAATGTATGTATAGAACATTCAAAGGCCTTAATCTTTTAAAATGGCCAAAGTTGTATTCCAAGAAATGCCACACAAACCACTCAGACTCCAGTCTCAGTTAGATGTGGGTGGTTTATTGAATGTCTTTTCCAAGTTGGTTGCAATCAGGGCCACCAAAGGAATCAGGAGCCTAACTATGCCTCGACCTGTTTTCCAGAGTTGGTTTATAAAGGGAAAAAAATGCAACTAGCTCATGGGGGCGTGGGGAGGTGAAACAGTGTGGTCAGCTTTGACCTGAATTGTTTTGCTAGCAAGCACTACTAGCTACTGGCAGTATGCCTGGCAGTTGGGGACAGCTGTGTTGATGGTTGAGGAATTTCTGGGAATAACAAGGCCCCAGAGTTTCTCACTGAACTGCTAGAGGTATCTCTCCACTACAAGTACAACTACATAAACATGTAAATATCAAGTCTTCTTATAGATTAAGTCTAATCTTAAGTCTCATTGATTATTTATCAGATTTCTCATCTCAGGAGGTAAAGGGAATACAAGACAAACTGGAGAATATTCCTCAAGCTTATCATTCTCTCTCTCTCTCTCTCTCTCTCTCTCTCTCTCTCGTATCGTAGTGCTGAGAATAGAACCAAAAGCTTTGCACACGCAGGACAGAACTTGCCTACTCAGCTATACCATCAGTCCTCAGTTTCAGGAGACAGGATTTTGCCTTGTTTCCCAGGCTGGTCTTAAACTCATAATCCTTTTCCTTCCATCTCCTAAATTATGGGATTAGATACATGTGCCTCTGTGCCTATAACATTTATCTATTCTTTAAAATATTGATTTTTCAGATGAAAAGAATAAAAGGGAGGTAGAGGGGAGCTAAGGAGGGAGAGAAGAAGGGCAAGAGAGAGAGAGAGAAAGAGAGAGAGAGAGAGAGGACCTTTACAGCAGTCTATTTTAAGGGCAGTAGAAAAAACAAAAAACAAAACCAGAGACATGACGTTCCATGGTAGCATGCAGAAAAGTGAGATTCTAATGTGGTTTCCTGGTGCTGTGACATTTGGAACACCATGAAAGTAACTTTTTAAAAGGTGAGAACTCTTTCCCTCTGACAGCACTACATTTGTGGGGGAAACCACCCCAACTTCAATTTTCAACTTCTAATCTATGTATGCAGAGGGAAAGCATGTCAACATCATTAAAAACAAACAAAACAAAACAAAACACCTGGTATCAGGGTGTGCTTGATAAAATGTGAGAATGAGCATATGTGCTCTTTACTGGAAACAGAGAAGCCATTCCAAGAGAGGTTTTGGTGTTAGTGGTGGTGGGTTTTGTTGTGGTTTTTTGTTTTGTTTTGTTTTGTTTTTTGAGACAGGGTTTCTCTGTGTAGCCTTGGCTGTCCTGGACTCACTTTGTAGA